TTGTTTTTCTCTGATAAGATACCTGGTACAACTGTTTACCTGGTTCGTGAATGCCAAAATCTAGGCTTCTGCAAACCTAATGGCTATTTAAAAAAACTCTGCTTTCATCCAGCTGTTGATTGGCTTAGCACCTTGGAAACCTGTTAAATGTCGAGCTGGGTGCTGCGATCAAGCTTGCCAAAGTCACATTAAGGGTAAAGAGGAGAGTGGTTTCCTATATAATCTCCTTTTTAATCACATTGCCACCCTAAAGCTCCCGAGCTGTTCTAGAATTTCACTCCTCCTGTTATGTGAACATCCCCCATGGCTGTAGATGCCATAGCAATGCCGAGTTAGCTCTAAACAACAACAAAATTCTAATCAACACTGGGTTTGTCTTTTAAATGCAAACATAGCAGTGGATGTCGGTGACTACTGTAAGAGCTGATAGCTCTCCTTGTATAGTAATTGTGGGAGAGCACAGTTTTACGGCATTTAAGTGTAAATTGTGTGTGTAGTGGGCAAATGGCCAAGCACTGCAGGGCCTGTGCCAAAGATGGGAGAGGACGTCAGGACTAGACTTGGCAGTTGCCAGGCTGTGAAGTGTCCATGGACCTTACAAAAGGAATCAACAATTCCTGCTTGATAGTCCCTTAATGAGTACATGGTCTCTTTCCTTTTTTCTTTGTTAAAATAAATTCCTTCAGTTTTTCATAAGCGCCAAATATACATGCCAAACAATTAATTGCAATTAGTTTGGTCTTTCCATGAAAATTCTACCCTTAAATAATTAATTTTAACATCAATAGAACATTGCATCAATATAGCATTCTTAGAGCAGCATTTTGTGCTTTCTTCAACATCATTCAAAATAATGACATTGCTTAGACATCTGGAGAAAAATTCATAGATAAGAAATTTTCACATTTACCAGCTGTGGCCACTCTGCCAGCTGAGGTCCCTACTGATGGTGCATTTCTGGGAGTGCTTCTGATTTCTAATTGTGTGGCCCGTACATTTCATTTTGGTATGGTAATTATGAAACAAGACAATCTGTATTCCCTTTTGGCAAATTATAATTAAATTTGCCAATGTCAGCAGTTTTACTTCATGCTAAAATGTAACATTTCACATTTTGCCTTTGTTCTGAATCAGTTTTAAAGATTTAAAAATTTAAAGATTTTAAGTGAAATGAAAATTTTATGGAAATAACCTTTCAACGTTTTTTTTCTATTACCTTATTTCCTAGCACTCAAGAAGTAGTAGTACGTCACAAGGACATAATATACCATCTCAAATCATGTCCTAACAGGACATGTGATGTTGTTCTGACTATTTCAACAAGATTAGAAGATAAGCAGTTAGCAATATCTGTGTATAAATTCTGAATATTGAAATGAATTGTTCCTTTTATTGGCACAGTGAGGCCTGAGCTTTCCATATTCAAAGTATAAATTGAATGAAAACATAAAGATATTTCTCCTTTTGGATTTAAAATTCTCTTCAGCATTAAATGAATGAAGAGATAAAAAATATAACTAGGAGAAGAACCCAGTGTTATAAATGAAGAGTTGATATATATATATGTACAGTCACATGTATTTCTGTATTCCTTATAAAATCTTGTATGTTTGCTTACTGCTTCATGCCTTCATTTAATAAATAATAATGTAGTAAGTCTCTACTTGAAGGAACTTGTTTGATCTTTTTAAGAAGAGAATTATTTGAGAATTTTCAGGAATTTGGAAAGTTACCTGTCCTAATGATACCCAATTCATAAGTGGATTACCCCGTTAAAGAGAAGTGCATGGTACTGGGATGATCACTTTTATTTTTTGAGAAAGACATAATATAAAGGCCATGACTGAATTTGTGAGTGTAATGATAGCTATATTAACCCAGTGAGAATTTATTACAGTAATAGACCAAATACACCAACAGATTTTACACTATGAATGTAACACTGCAGTCAAAATCTGTACTTAAGCTCCAGCTGTACTGACCAAGGTTAAGCATGGGTACAGAAAACTAACAAGAAAAATAGGAGATCTAGAGGCACCACCTAATTTAACTAAGGAGTTTCTACCTGCAAGTAAAGGAAAATAACAAAAAACCTCATATTTACAGAGCAGTGTTTCTTACTTGAAGGACCCAGTCTCTTGAAGATGGTACACTTCTAATACTACAGAAAATAAGTCATGTATGGTCTTGAAGAAGAAGGAGCTCAAATATGATCACATATGACCACTAGCAGTGTGAAAAGTATGGCTTCATATTATAAGAATACCTTATAAAAGCTAATATAATAAGTGATAGGATAGTTGGTAAATATTTGTCAAGCATGTCATTAAAACAGGAAATGATTTTTCAAACAAATGGGTTTGTTAACCTGCCAAATAAGGAGGAGAAGAAAAGGAAGAAAGAATAAATAGGTGGGGAAATTATTAACATGACTTATCTCACTTTTATTAGTTTCTCATGAAAGATGAGGAATTGGGGGCTACAGTAGCATATATTACATACATATATTACTGAAGCTCTTCCATATTGCAGTGGAAGGAGATGGAGCCCTGCAGAATCTTAGAAAGGCTGAATTTCAGAAGCCCTTGGGAAAAGATCCATACTGTTCTCCAGAGCAACCCCAAAAACTCGTGTAATCCAGGGAGGAAATGTACTTTCCTTAGCTGTCATGAATGGACAATGCACATCCGCGTGGCCCTGTTTTCCTTGAATAGTCAACGTATTTCTACTGTAGTTTCATCATAGTTTTTATCTGATTTTGAACTTTTTTTCATCTTAAAGTGGTTGAATACATTCTTAGCTCGTATAAAAATACTCAGTAGTTTATAAAATGCATTAGTTGTAATTGTATGCTCCCCCTTTTCCTGGATTGCTCTGTCAGGCTCTGAATTTTTTTCCATATTCAAGAAGCAAAGAAGCTCCCACCCTCTGCTTTCCACAGAAAATTTACATGACCATGTCTGTCCCACTGGGAAAATAAATGTAATGTTGAGTTTGATTCATGTGATTTGTCAATATAATTAAAATAAATTGAATCATCATGATTTTTTGGATGTGTGTTGGGATTGTGGCCAACACAAGTCATGACCAGCACTGTAAATGATCTCCGTGGCCTGGAAGATGAAATTCCAATTTTAGCAATTCTGGCCTGACCCAAAAGGCATCTTGCCCCCTTAGGAGAGATAGAAATTATGTTTCTGTGCTTCATGACATTTTTTTAATAGGGTGAGGAGCAGTTAGGCAGCATCCCTTCTGGAGAGCAGAATGAACGGTAGTGAAAGTGATGCCATGCCACTTGGTCAGTGGAAAATATGATGCGTTAACCGTGGAAGTGCTGTAGAAAGCTAACACCCACGCTGTCCATTGTGTGATTGCCCTGTCAGGCTTAATGGCTGGTTTGTTTGTTTTTCTTGTATTTAAAGGTAGTGTTGCTTTGGGGTTGGTTTATGACACCGTGCCTTGCTTGGCGACAGAGTGGCACCGAGGAACTGCAGCGCTGGTGGGGAAGAGTTTGAAGGTGCCCTTTCTGAAGGAGGTTGAGTACTGGGGCACCCCGGAGTGTCCTGGGGGCTGGGCCTCTATGGGGGGTGGGGGGGTTCATCATAGTCTCAGCTTTCACTAATGCTGTGATAACATCAATGGTTTCAACCACAGGCCAGTGTTGTGTCAACCATAATAGGATGTAAACTCTACACTAAAGTTCTGTCCACTTGTTGCTGCTTGTCTTTTGCCACTGTTTCCACCGGGGAGCTGTGTCAGAAGCTGTGGCAAAGGGAAATTTTAAAGAATAGCCAAATTTGAAAGTCTCTGGGGAGGTTTCAGGGCTTCTGGGTATTTTTCTAACAGACAAGATTTTTCGAAAAACTCAACAAAAGTTTGAGTGTATTTTCTTTTATTTTCTGCTCCTTTTGCTTTAGCTCAGTAGGCAGTTTAGTTTTGAAAGATCGCTATAACATAGCAGATGTGTTTGGACTCCTGTAAGCAAAATATCCCTCAGAGAGTAATTTTCTTTGTCAGTTCAAAGACAGCTTATTAAACTCTATGCTGTAACTATTACGGGCTTCAGGAAAGAAAAAACATTTGGAAATTTAAAATTTACCTTTATTTTAAACTGTCAGTTTAGTGACAACTATTGTTTGCTCTAATAGTGGTTAAATGTAGGCTGCTGCATCACTTGTGATGGGGCAATTTGGTTGTTACACAGACACAAACCGTGGCAGGATTCGGTCCTTCCTGGGACATGCTGACATACTAGGACACGTGCATGACCATTGTTCTCAGCTGTAATTTCTATTCTCTATTTTTCTTGTAACTGTGAATTTATATCGAAGGCAGGCACTGCAGTCAGCTACAGTGATCTTTTTCAACTAGAATGTTGCATGTCTGTCAGTGAATCGTAAATGCCCTAGAAAACCATGCCTTAGTATGTTATTCCCACGTCAGTTTATGAAAGGATAGAGGGAGGCTCTGAAAAGCAGAATGTAGAAATTCTATGTTTTGTTTGGCTTTTGCCGTATTAGGATCTAATATTTATGTGTTAAGTGGTATGTTGCAGTTATTCTTCGCTTCTTTCCTCTGCTATGTCAGAAGAATACAAGCAGTAACTAGGGGGTTAAATTCCTGCTCAAGAGGCATATTTTTGGATTTACGTTTTTGTAAGAGAGCTCGGAGTGGAGCTCAGCGCTTTGCAGCGGAGGGAAGCACTGTGTGACAGAACTGAGCGTCCGAGGGAAACGTGGCTCGTGGCAGACATACATGACGGGAACGAGAAGCTGTACCAGCTCTTCCAGTTTCACAGGGACCTTGCGTTTTCCAGCTGTTTACCCTTGAGATGTAAAATGGCAATTTGGCATAGGCTAACAACCCGGTGTGATGTGAGCATCTGCGTAAAAGGCTGCACATATGGAGCATGCCCAGTGATATGAACAGCCTGTTACCCCACCCCCAGCCAATCTAGGAAGAGATGAAATGAACTTTGCACTTGCAAATGTCACTGAATACATTTTGCGCAGGATTTTAAAAGGTTCTCTTATAAGCACTATTTTTAACAGCCAAATCCGCCCCCCAAAACAGAAAGGAAAAAGCCCTAGGTATTTTGCTGTGATCGATCTCAGTTCATGATCAATTGAAGCATCTTTCACGACATTTACCTGAAGCCTGCCTTATTTTACCTTTTTGTCATTCAAGTTGAGATTTTTGGAGGTGGTGTGGATTTTTTGGATTTGTTGGTGGGGGTTTTTTGGTTGTTTTTTTTTTTTTTAACTGGCATCAAAATTTGAGAATTTAATTGCAGTAGAATACTTGGAAACAGTGAGGCTGCAAGCTTGAAAGGCAGAGGGAAGAGAAGGAAGGCTCTCACAGCAGAGCATGGATAGGAAAGGAGCAGTGATTCTGCGGTGCTCAGTGTGCACATGTTTTATGAGATCAGTGCCGGGCGCTGCAGCTGCGGACAATAACTGAGCTGTCTGGCTAATGAAGGCCACCTGGATCAGGCTTCTGAAAAGAGCCAAAGGAGGACGTCTGAAGAATTCTGATATCTGTGTAAGCCCTACGTTTTCATTATCGGCATATATTACATGTATTGCAGAGAGGGAGACAAAAAAAGACGGTGAGGAGAGGACAGTTGTTTTCGTTCTGATTGAATTGGCAGAACTCTATTTTGTATGCAGGGAGATGCAGAGGGAAAGCAGAGCTGTCATTATTTATAGAGCTGTTCTGGCATTGAGGCTGCTTCCATTGTGGCGATACGGGGACATGTGTTGAGTCCAGACGGATTTTATTAGTTGGAAGTTGATTTGTGGTCATTTGCATGTTTTGCTGAAGGGCAGAGATGGATATGAGCCATTTGCAGTTCTGATGGGGAAAGTGTGTCAGGTAAAGAGGTTGCCCTAAAATAAAAATGGATAGCAGAGGTTAAATCTGTTAGCAGTGATATTGTGTAATGGTAATTATTGATACTGAATTTGCATTTTTATTATAAAAAGCCTGTTTCCTTGCTAATACTGTCACTGTTTAGAGTTTTAATTTTTATGAGCCATCCTTGAAGCTGCTGTGTGTCCTTCAGCCCTGCACTGCACCACTGCTGTAACTCTACAGAGCAACTGACTCTGCGTGCTGAAAAGCACACAAATAAGAGCACGGGGATGGTGCAGGAAATAAAACACTGGGGAAGACACCTGCACTTTTGGAAAGTCTCCAGAAGAAAACACTTACCTAGACGTAATTTTTCTAAGTGACTTTCCCTTTTGGGCAGTTATCCTCTTTTCAGGGATAGAGAAGTAAGAGAAAAGGCAAAGTGCATAACCACTTCTACTTTTTTTTTTTTTTGAACACTGAAACAGCTTGTGATATTATTTTTCCTTTTCTTGTACAGGGTTCGGCGGACTCCTACACCAGCCGTCCATCCGATTCAGATGTATCTCTGGAAGAAGACAGGGAAGCAGTGCGGAGAGAGGCAGAGCGACAGGCCCAGGCACAGCTGGAAAAAGCAAAGGTAAGGTGTTACTTCATGTCACAGACTCATAAAATGTTCAGCTTTAAAGGACTGTTGTCTCATCCATTTCTGTTTTTAATGTGGTAACATATAGCACAAGACCTCTTATAAAGATTTTCCTGACAACAGTAGAAAATGTATTTTCCAGGAAACACCACTTCGAATTGGTTTTCCGTAAAAGGCACTTGATTGGTTTGCATATTTCAGAATAATCTTATTTAAATGTGTGCATTTTTTTTCTTTTATTGAGTATACCCGCTTATTTGCAGTGTATAGGGTCAAAGCTTTGAGTTCTTACTGAAGATGTTTGCGGAAGTTTGCCCATGGATCGCTATGGCACTCAAAACTTACAGTTCTACAAATCAGCCCTCAAACATCCTATTCATCTTCCTTCAATGAAGGATCGGTCCCTAAAAGTCATATGTAAATAGGGAGAATCTGTTTACAAAGGTCTTTTTTGCCTGAAGACTTCACTGGCTTTGTTTACAGTTTGGGTGTTAAATGACCCCGTGAGTAATATGCTCTAGGACTTGTTAAGATTTCTCCTTCTATCTCCATACTCCTGGCAGATAGTGACAGTTCAGTGAGGAAATACTAAATGAGCTTTGGGTTCTTGCTGTGTGTTTATATATTTTCCACGAGACGCATTTAGGACTGTGAGGGTTTTAGCAGTGAAAGGGTATGGGCTTGTTTTTCTTTCATCTGTGCTGTATCTTTAAGTACTATTGCACCTGTAAAAATCATGCTCATCTTATTTGTTATCATTTGTTTCTCACGTCGTTCCAGTTTTTCTTTTTCTTTATGCTATCTGCCAGATCTTGGTGTATCACTGTTTTCCAAGATCTGTTTTCCTTTTTCATTTCGCATCTTTAAATATTTAAATACACCGTTGAGATCCCTCCTCAGATCTACCTGATCTACATTTCTCTCTCACTTTCTCTCCAACTCCCCTCCTCCATTTTGCCTTGTTTTTTATTTCTCTATCTCCCTTCTGTCTCCCATTCTGTTTCCTTTTCCGCTGCCAGCTTTGCCTCTGCCCATTTACACCACCTGTTTTACAAGGGTTCTTCAGAAATTCAGGAGTCCAGGTCATTGAGCTATGCACCTGATCGTATGGCGAGGGCCAGCTCCATAAATAATGCAGTACTATAATGCACAAGCAGACAGCTTCATCAGGCCAGAAGACTTGAACAGGGAAGCCAAAGATTTTTTTTTTTTTTTAAATGTAGTTGTTGACTGATATTTAATAAGAGCTCCCAAAGCAGCTTTTTAATGAGATGCTGGAACTTGCCAAGAGATCCTGAACATCTCTTTGAAGTCAGGTCCTGCTGTCCTGGGATCAGTATAGCAGAAACTCGACAGAAGCAGCCCGCTTCTTCCCTTCCACCTTGTATCTTAGAGATGTTGCTGATTGTAATCAGAATTTCAGTTTTATCAGGGTTGCTTTTTGCTAGTTTGAGATTTCTTTGCTCCTAGGAAAGATGATAAAGGCTGCCCTGAAATTCAGGTGAAGTGTTGAATTTTATCAGTAAATGCACAATCTTTAAAAGAAGAGTCTAAGTAATAATATCTTGCAGACTAATCAGGGTAGCAGTACAGCACTTACTGTTGAACTGGTGCATCTCTTAGCGATGAGTAAATCTATGCAAGTGTTGCTATGGGAATTTGGCTTACTGATGCTGGCTTGAATGCACGGACAGCCCTTATGTAATATTCATGACCTCTAGCACAGCTGCCATTGTAGTTTGTAGAGAAACTGCTAGCAGACCCTGACTTTTTAAAACTGTATTTCTATACATCAAGGCAACGTTCTCACTCCAGCTGGCATAAGATGTAGTCTCTAGGTCTGACACCGTCTGAGACTGTAAGACAACTTGCGAACAGTCAAAGTAGCAAAGGCACTGCCAGAATCAACCTGCTATAACAATGGGTAATTCCAGTCATATAGAAAACACAAAATGAATTATTTAAATCATTTGTGCTTTAAAATGAATTAAAGCCGGAACTACATTAGAAGTTTTGTTTCTTGAGTCAAATGTTAAAAATCATTCCAGGCTGTAATGTATGGAAATCGTTTTATGTAGAGGCTATAACAGTGTAATATTTAGTCTAGTCTAATATTTAAATTAATAACATTAAATAAATTATTATATACGTTTGGGGCTTACGTTTGAAATAAATGTTTAAAAAGATGTAAATTAAACCTAACGCAGTAGATCTAAAATATGACAGGTGTGCTTTTCTGTCTTTATTGGTGACTCAGTTCTTCACCTCCCTGAAACACAGTAAAATTAATGAAGCGGTAACTTCTGTTGGTGCTGCCCGGCTCCTGTGTGCACCCAGACCTCTTCCCCGCAGGCAGCAGGTTTTGCTGCCGGCTCTCCATGGCTGCCTCGCCTTCTCCCTGACTGGCTATCAGGCAGAGCCAAGTGACGCAGCTGCTTTAACTTTTTGCCTTTTAATATTGTGAGTGGAAGTGTTGATCCTAAATAAAGTCATTACAATTGTATTTGTCACAGGAATTAGAAGAGGATGACATACATGAATAATGCAGCGGTGGAGGGAAAATGGTAGTGAATTAAGGGTAGATAAAAAACTGTGAACTGTGTCACGCACTTAATGAAAACAGTTTAATGACACCCATTTTCCTTCCTTACAGCTAGGGAAAACACCTTAAACTGAAGAGAAGAATTTAGTAATAAAGCACACAATGGCAAATTGTTAGGAGGATGTTAAGATTTTTAAATTTGGATTTTTATGGATTCTAAGTGTTTGTGTAACGTGAAGCCAGAATATAATATGCGTACCTGATACGTATCCAAACAGGGAAAATAAAAACAAAAAAGCTTGTAAGAAAATACACATTCTGGCCATTTTTATTTATTTATTTACTTACTTATTTTTTACAAGCATTGCTTCTCTGGAAAATGGTTAGGCATATTTTGCTGACTCACTCTGGCATGTGACTTACTGTAAGGAAGGTGGGACCATGGGCGCATGTACCGAGTCCTCCAGGGATGGAAAATTAAGAGGCAACTGATGAGGCTACCTGCAGGCCAGCAGCTATTCCTAGGGGAAACAGATCTTCAGATGAAGCTGTTAAGCTCAAAGCTGAGATAAAGTGTTCTTGGTTAGAGCAGTTTAGCAATGCAAATGCAGAGAGGGTGTGTTTTGTTGGGGTTTTGTTTGTTTGTTTGTTTTGGGTGGGGTTTTTTGTTTTTTTTTTAAAAAGAAAAAAACCTTCAAGGCATTGAGGATTTCCTGGGAATCCTCCTCATAGTCCATAGCATGTGGCTCTCTCTAGGATAAAGAGACCTGCATTGTGGCTGAGTAGGGCCCCCTAATAATGTCCAAATCTAAGGACTTCTACTGGTATTTTACTGAATTTCCTATTTCCATAAAAACATTAATTTTAAGCATTCACAAGCCAAAAAATAAATAAGAAGCCCAATGACCTTAATTGCTTTTGTTGTTAATATTTTAAAAATTGTCCTTTCTACAGAAAGAAGCTTTTTAGTTTTGAAGGGTGAGGATTAAAAATAAATGATAGTAAGTAAAGATTTTTTTTGTCCATTCCCTGCAAGTATTCAATTAATTATCCCTTAAAATATTGCACCGAGTGAGAGGGATGAGATCAAAGGAAAACTCTGAGGTACAAGTATTAGTGAGACCTTAAAATTTAGTACTAAATGAGCTAAAGTTTTTACATAAGAAAGGGGACTTCAGCAATGATTTTTTGGCCCTCTCCAATGCCAGTAAAATCAATTCAAATATTCTGTTGATTTATTTTGCCTCAAGCACATCATGCGTTATGAACTAGTTTTTGACTGAAATACCATTAGTCAGGTGGTCTGTAAACCTCTTTCTCCTCCTCTGCAAGAGTAACTTCTTTCTTCTCTTCAGTCTATTCTCTTCAATTTTTTAGATTTTGTCTCTTTTTTTTCTCCTATGGCTTTAGAGGTCCTTATGCAGAAACAATTTTCAAATGAGATATATAGAATATTTTCAGCATTTTGGAAAATGAAATTTTTTTTTTCAGCTATTTCTAGTACCTTGGTTACTTAACATGCCAGGTTAATAATCCAGGTTCTGTTTCTCACCTGGGACCAAGGGACAGCCCTATGCTCTTTGCTCTCTGTTAAGGATTGCTCTCAACATCCTTTAGGCCTGAAACTTCTTAAGTGGCTGTCAAAGTTGGATTGTGGCCTTCCAGAAGTCAGTAATTGTGTCTGTAGTAGGAAATCTCAGTTCCTCTCAGCTCTGCTTTGTTTGCAGTCCACCTAATGCTCTACTGCTAGCATCCCTTTTAGGAGTTTGTTAAAACTTGAAATATCCATAGTCCTAGTGTAAAAATGATTCAAATGGCATTTTAAGTTAAGATGGTGAACCACTGAAATTTTGATACCAGACATCCCTTTGTTGGCTCTTAGGCAATAATATAAGCTGTTGTGTTTCACTTTCTTGATGTGTGCTGTAGTAGAGGTGATGGCTGGTGACTGTGAGTAATAGTGCAATGTCTTAAGTGTATTGCATTGCCTCCATGCATGGGTTGGGGGGACAGCTTTGAACTGTGTAGCAGGCTGGGATAATGCCTACATATCCCTGCAAGATATGCCTTCCTCATGAAGGCATGAGAAAGATTGTCAGATGTAATTATCCAGTGCAGTGTGCCAAGACTAGTTATTTAAGTATTTATTCACTCTCAGACAGGTTTCACAGCCTCTGAATGACCCCATGCTGCGAGCAGGCAGCTGCAAGGCTAGTTAAGGTATGTCTACTTAAGCTGCAGTAGCATTTTTGACAGACCAGAAGTGCCCATCACTTTGATGTGTGTCCTTATATTATGTCAGCTTGTTCCATCATGGAGACTCTCTCTATTTTCTCTCAACTACGAGAATGTCGTGGTGCTGAACAACACCCAAAGCTATAGCAACGTAGGATAGTACTTTGTGTTAGCTGTTGTGTATGGTTATTTTTTTTTTATTGATTTCTTCTCATTT